TTTTCGTACGGGGCGTACGAGGGCGTACAGGTTCCCGTACAGATATTATTTGTACGTTTCGTACGGAAAGGCCCTGTACTTGTACGTTCGGTAACGTAGGTTGCTGCCACAAAGAGCCACACGTTCGTCCTCGATCTGTGCGAGCCGGTTGACCTCAATCTGTGGAAGGCCCAAGCGTGGGAGACTTTGGATTCTTATCTTCAGACGTGGCGTCCGTCACAATGGACTCTCGTTGTTTTCGTGCCGCGGCAGCACAACCTCACGTTTCTCGCCAGCATGCACCATCTTTCTTTCGTCAAGCTGTTGGAAGGGATGTGGGTGAGAAGAGTTCAGCAAAAGAAAAGTTTCCCCGTTGGAAACAATTTATACACGGAGGAAGACCGCATGCACATCCTCTTCAAGGGTGACGATCTGCGCGCCAACACGTCCGTGGTCTACGAGGGAAACCTGCCCAGGGGTGCCGCTGCTGCGGTGCGATTGCCTCAGAGGGTCACCCAAACGGATGTGTCCGAGATTCCCTTTGTGCCTTGCGATTGGTCGCTGGTGGCGCCGGAACGACAAGGCAATGTCTACGGGGATATGGAACGCAATCCGACACAATTCGTCGGTCTTCTTGATTTCCTTGGTAAGAAGGGAGAGGGTGTCGTGTTCCTTGGGAAACCGCACGCGCGAAGCGTCTGGGATCTTCTGAAGGTCGGTCGGCACGTTGTCGCGATGGAAGGAAACGCCGAGCTCTGGCAATTCACGATGCAGGTGGTGAAAAGCGAGGTCAATTCGGGCGCGCAAAATTGTGAGTTCATGGTCGTGAAGCCAACACGGGATAAGGTGTGGAGCAACAAGACGGATATGTGGTTCAAGTTGAGCAAGAGGAAGAGGAACAAGATATACGATTTCTTGTTCCTTCAAACACGGCGGAGGAAGGACTCTGATGCCGAGTACGTCCGCCGGAAGGACCACATGTTCGCAGTGCTCGACAACTACCACTTCGCCTCCCGCATGAACGCAAAGACGTTTCTCGATAGGCTGCAGTCGCTTTACTTCGTGAAGTCCGAGGAGTAGTTGAAGTTAGCCAGTTACGCTTCCCTGATCTCCACTCATGACGAGGAAGCCACAGGTGTGGAGTTTGTCGCCAACGTGAAGGAAGAGGAGAGCGACACAGAGAGCATTGACCTGCAGTACGACCCACCTCCGGCGGATTGCGGCAGAGGGTCGTCGCCGGTCGGTCCGTCACCGAGCGCTGCAGCCCTCGTGTCACCGTCGGCCAAACCGCCGCCGGGCACCACGCCGATGAAGTTCCTGGAGAGACTCAGAGCTCTGGCCGTCCCTCCGCCCGCTTTGCGTCCCGGGTCCGACATCCCGCCCGATCATCCATCTTAGCAGGATAACCACATCCACTTCCTGCTTGAGCCACAACGTCATTCGCCTGAGCTGGAATGGGGCCATGACATGGTGTGGCATCCGGGAGTCATCCAGCCAGCGATATGAAAGGGCAAGTGGGTCATGGCCGTCGCGATTCTGGGCGCGGGATGGGCGTCATTCCCGCGCGAGTCGAAGTCCAACTTCCTGCACCTCGCGAGGATTTCAGTCCTCCAGAAAGTGACGGCCGAGAATGACACCTTTGCACCCGGCGACCTGTCCCTCATTTCCACAGCCGGTCGACTGTTCGACGAGCTTCAGGACAAGTGTTGGTTGGACTGGAAAGTGCCCCCTCCCAGTGGCTCGGACGGTAGTTCTGGGAGGGGGGCACTTGGAAGTGGAGGGGATGGGGGTGGTGGTGCGGGGGGTGGCAAAGGAATTCCGCCTAGTGGGGAAAGGAGGTCTCACGGCCGCAACACGATACCGGGAGGTAGTGGCGGGGTGGCGGGTTTCGCCATCGACCGGCCTCCGTCGACAGGCACCTGGCCGGAGCATACGACATAGTCCGCCGACCTCCCGACTTCGTCCGTGGGCTCAGCGAGGGACACGTTGGCAGCTTTGCTTGCTTTGGGCGGTCGCTCCGACAGAAAGTTGAAGTCTGCCGGGATCCGAACTACGTCCGCTGAGGAGGCGCCAGAGCGGTCAGGAATGCAAAGCCGCTCGGGGTCGGGGGAGCCAAGCAAGGATCCCGAAATTGGCAGCATTGCGGCGCGGGACGGAAACGTGGGAAAGTTGTCGCCTGAGCAGGAGCGACGGCCGCAAGGATTGTAGGGAGAGGTTGCAGGTACAGGGTCTGGCGACACGGAGACGACGAAGTCCGCCGAGATCCGAACTTCTTCGGGCGGGGGGTGTCGACCAGGGATTGTCGTGCCGTTGAGAGGGGCAGCGTGCACGGAGACGGAAGGGCGGTCCTCGGGATTCAACACGGGTACCGCGGAAGGGGATGAGTTGTGTGGAAGGGAAGTAGGGGAGAAAATGGAGGAACGGAGGGGAGCGCAAGAAGCGAAGGAAGAGGGGAGGAAGAAGGGGAAGAAGAGGAGGAAGGGGAGGAAGCGGGAGAAACGGAGCTACTTGATTTGCTTGAAGGAAGGGAGGGTGCCGGATCTAGAGACAAGGAGGTGGAGCACAGTGAGGACGATGTCAGATCTGGAAAGTCGTCTGACGAGTTCGGACAACTGTATGGAGAGCATCACGAGGATGATGCCGACGACGATGCCACGGCAATAGAGATGGAGACACAGGTCATTAGCAACCTTTCCGCACAGCCTGAAGATTATGCGGTCCGACCACTGACGTCTGCTGTCAACTTGCGACACCGCTTCGACGAGGCTTTCGTCGCTATCAGCCCGTCTAAAACAAGTCGGCGTATAAGCATCGACGAAGTTATCGACGGTATCCTCGGCGACCACAACGTGTCTGCCCGTCCGTCCACAACGCCTGACATCGACGAAACTGCCAACGTCACGTCCCCCGTTGCAGCTGCCCTCGCTTCGTCGCCGCCGAAGTCCCTGGTCCTGCTGGCCACCCTTGCCGCCGGAGAGGAAGGCGAGGTCGGGGGATGACAACATGTCACGTCCCCAAAAAAATCGAGGGTCGGCGGTCAAGCTCTCGACGTGCTCACTTTGCCCGCGCCAAATTCCCCATCGAAGGAGCGGAGAGAGAAACAGACTGGTAAGCCGTGAAGAACGCCACACTGCCTGCGCGTCCGGATGTCGTCGGATTACAGTCTGCGCTGTACACACGACGACTGTCCACACTGTCTGTCGATACGGGAATACTACAGCCATCAGCCCTTCCTAATACATCTCGTCGACTTATCTGTCACTCGGCCAGGTTGCTGGTCGAGGGCGGCGAAAAGTTCCTCGACAAACTTACACTCCATCCAAGGAAGGATCTGCCCCGGCTGAGGAAGTGGCCAAGGGGCTAAGAAAGTGGCCAAGTAGATGGACTGACGGTTTTCCCTTCTCGGGAATAGTGTCGGTTTTAGTCCGCAGGGATCCGAACTTCCTTTGTCGATGCGTGATGTGGTCAGTCTCAGTGGGGCTGGTGTATTGAAAAGTCCGCCGCAGTCCGAACTTCGGGGATTGCTGGCCTTTGGCTTCTGTGAGTTGTGGTGGTTTTCCTTTGCGAAGTGCAGGGGTGTTAAGCTAGAATGTTGCAGTCGTTTTGTTTTCCAGTATCACAACCACACCTGGGTGCACATGACCACGCGAAATCAGGGTCCTATGGTCGGAGAGGTCCTGCTTGATTGTTGCGTCTGTTCGATTGTATGGTTCTCATTTTTCGTTCTGTCTTTCTTTTATTGTACAGGGGTGGGGTCGTCTCGAACACGGAGGTCCTCCAAATATCCTGAGCACATATTGCAGAAAGTCCCCGGGTTGACTACAAAACACAAGGATATGTTAAAGGCATCAGGGGTTGATGTCGAGATCGGGAAGAAGGAGTACAATGTTGCCATTGAGGAATGTTTTTCCCTTCTTGCCCCAGAGAAAGGGACATATCCACGATCTGTGAGTAGGGGTCAGGCCATGTATGAGAAGTATTTAGCAACGCGTCATGCTCCGAGGGACAATGTCAAGAACTCCGTTTCTCACTACCCCACGTGTCCTTTGCTCGATGTTGTGCAGTGCGGGCCGCAAGTGCAGCACACGGAAAAAGTTTCGCTGCAGCGATTGAGCCTCTGAGCGTGCGGGTTTTGGACGACATTTTACGAGGCTCGGTGCCGTCTCACACTGTTCTCTCTATACTGGGCGATGGTCAATTTCGGATTGCAGCAAAAGATCTCCTCACCCTACTGCATGTCGACGGCAGGGTGAATGATGAGGTGGTCAATTTCTATATGGCGTTGTTGGGGTCAACCGCATGTGGGTCACGTGACATCTCGTCGGGCCTTCAAGTCTTCAGCGTTAATTCGTTCTTCTTCAGTAAACTGCGACTTCAAGGACACGGTGGAGTGCGGAGGTGGGCTAGAAACGTGTATTTGCTTCGTTACGATATTGTCTTCGTTCCTATCCACAAAGATGATGATTACTGGATCCTCCTTTCCGTCAATATGAGAGATGATGTTCTCGCGTTGTATCTGATTTTAGTTTTTACCTTTCTATTTTCGGGTTGATTGTGCAATATTTGGAACGTCAAACATCACATAGGCGGTCGGGTAGGAGTTGGAAGCCGATAGTGGGAAATGTTGTGGTGGATGGAGTTCCGAGACAAGTGGATGGAGCAAGTTGTGGGGTGTTCATGTTGATGTATGCGACGTTGTTGCAACGTGAAGGTCGACCGCCTTTCCAGTTCTCTTATAAAGATATTCCACTTCTTAGACGACAATTAGCATCATGTATCTTAGAACATCGTTGTCTTTGATGAATTTGATTGACTTGGAAACTTTTTTCTTAAGGTGTTCCATTCGTTGTTCATTGAATTTTGTAAATCGAGACATTATCTTCTAAAGATATTCCGCTTCTTAGATGACAATCAGCATCATGTATCTTAGAACATCATTGTCTTTGATGAATTTGATTGACTTGGAAACTCTTTTCTTAAGGTGTTTCATTCGTTGTTCATTGAATATTGTAAATCGAGACATTATTCAACTGTCCTTCTGCCAAAGACATTGCTTTCTTTTGTCGTTCCGAGTTTGGGTTGTCTACGACAAGCTCATTGCATGTCCTGCGTCATGTATAGGCTTTGTGATCTCTGTCACGTCGCAGTCGTTTCTAATGCAGTGGAACATGTCATAAGTTATGTTCCATGTTTCGAATTTTGTTCCACTACAAGTATTATGTTCCATGTTTCAAAAGGAAAGTGTAAACAAGATTGTGAAACTGATTGGTGGACGCATGAGAAATGTCATCTTATGTGAAATTGGTCAATGGATGCCCAAACCTTCCTTGCATTACCATTTAAAGTGCGGATACTCATCGTGAATGAGCACAATTTTAAGTTCTACACTTGTACATAGAATATTGAAATAAAGTGGTTATTAAAATACACCTTGCCCATCACAACTGTAAACAAGTATGTTCCTCAGTGCCCTCATATCGGGCGAGATGATGACCGTGCCTTTATGCGGAAGTCCGAATTTCTTCAACATCCAAATAATCGTCTCGGGTGAGACGATGGGTGTGCTTGCATAACTTAGGGATAACCTGATAAACGGAAATTTGAATGTGTTGACCAACAACGGTTCGATCATGACACCTTGCTCATCACATAAGTAAGCTTTGAGCTTAACAAGTATGGATCTCAGCACACTCCCGCCCATTGTCAGGGTCACAAGTCTCCTAAACAAGTCCAGATCTCATCATACATCTAAACAACCGTCTTCAGCAAGACGATGAACCTGCATGTGTAACTTTGGGATAACCGAAAGAATTATACTGAGTCTCTCCAATTCAATTTGATTACATTGCTTATTTTGCTTACAAAGTTCAACAACTATGGATGTTAGCAAACTTTCGCATTTGGGCCGAGTGGATGGGCACGCCTATGTGGAAACACTGTAGTAAAAAACGAATTCCTAAGAAAGAGGACAGTGTCACAATATAATATATTTCATCACATTTATGAAATTGAAGTTTGACAAGTAAGGATCCCGGCACACTTCCGCACAGGGTTCCCTGTGTGGCGTGCCAATCGTTATTCGTTTATGAAGTTTGAGTAGTATGGATCCTGAAACACTTCCCCGCAGGATCCCCAGCATATTTTTTAAGTTCTACAAGTGAGGATCCCAACGCACTTCCGCACAGGGTTCGCGGGTGGCGTGCCTAACATGTGTGGGTCTCTACACGCTTCCACATTTGGGATTTCAGTTATAAAGTTTGACAAGTGCGGATCTCAGCACTCTTTTGCATGTGGTTAAGCCCTGGATGGGCATGCCTACGGCCCTACGTTGCTTAGGCTGCAGCCACAAATGAACTCGTTGAAAAGAGGACACAGTATAATGTCCTATTTTAACGAATAACATGTTGCCTGCTTAATTCAAATTTTGTCACTTTCTAGTATCCATCTGCGTCGTGCAATAATCCCGGGTCTGATTGAAAACACTTGCTTGCTATGAATGTTTGGGTTTAATCGTTAGTCTTTGATCGTCGTCAGATCACCGAGAATGTTGTGATGTCAGGGCAATTGCCCTCCCCCTCTCCTCTTTCCCTTCGTCACGTGAATGGCATGGATGTGAATGTAATGACTGGATCTCACCCGAAATAGTATGGGTAGGTTAGTTGCATGCAGGTAGGACACAATTGATACACCGACACGAGAAACCCAAGTCTGATTTCGCTCATGTGCATGCTCGCGTGCGACCGCGATCTCAAGAAAACTGAGCCACAACATACGAGTGCGTCTGCATGAGGCGACCTCGATCTTCGCTCACTATAAGGGATGTGGGAGACCGAGTTCACCAGTCGAATATGGCTGTCGAAACTCCCTTTTGGATCACTGATCGTGAGAGCCTGAGGGACCCAGAGTGTCACGAATACTGGGAAGCTATGAAACGTCCGCGGGGTCAAGATTGGAGGGCGGCCATTTTCATGTCCGCATTCGCGACTAGCCTCGGTCGCGCCACAGACATGAATTTACACGGATTTTCCTGAATTAAATAATGGGCAAAAAAAAAAACAATATAAATCCTACAACCCCATTTTTGCTTTTGGGAACCAGATTATTTTTTTGATTATAAAAACTAAAAAAAACAAAAAATTTGGAGAAGAGAAATAAAAAAAAAATATATATATATATATTTTGGGGGGGGGGCGGGATTTTTGGTTGGCAGTTCTTTGTATTCTTCGTTTTTACGTTTTGTTTTTTTTTTTTAATAAGGAAACTATCAAGGAATGAAAAAATATATATATATACAGGGTTGCCGGCATTCGGGATGGGATGAACATCCGAACCCGAACGCCCGAACGTTTGGGAACCCCTCTCGACGCGTTCGGACGTTCGGCCGAACGCGGAACCAAAAAAAAAAAAAAAAGAAAAAAAAAAAAGGTTTCCAAAAATTCTGAAAACAAACTATGTCATGCAAAAGAAAACCTATACAACATTTGCCTCAACAGTACATCCAAATTTCTTACGAAATTTGAAATAAAAATCAAATACGAAAAATAAATAATATTCATGAAAATAAGAAAAGAAAAAAAACGAGAATGAAATTATTGCGTGGGCGAGCAAGTTTTTGACACCGCCATCTTTGGCGATTTTTCATTTTGTTTTGGCTTTGTCAAATGCCATGAAATTTTATACATATGTATCTTACATCATAGAGAACCTACAAATAAAGTTTGAAAAAGTAATATTTCTTTTCAGGCCCCGAAATAAAGGGAAAACAAAAAGTGAAAAGAGAAAAAAAACAAATTAGTAAGTGGGAAAGCAAGTTTTGACACCACCATCTTTGCCGATTTTTCATTATTGTTTGGCTCCACAGAATAACTTCAAAATTGAGAGACAGGTAGCTTACATAACAGA